AGATTGGTTTTGTTATTTGTCATTTCACTTAAAGTCACAGTTTCCAAGAACCTATCAGTGACATTAAGTGAGGACTTACCTGTACACAGTGGAGTATTTATTATTCAGCCTTAAAGAGAAGGTAATTCGGCTGGGTGAGGTGGCTCACGCCTGTAATCCCAGCACTTTGGGAGACTGAGGTGGGAGAATCACAAGGTCAAGAGAGCAAGACCATCCTGGCCAACATGGTGAAACTCTGTCTCTACTAAAATACAAAAATTAGCTGGGCGTGGTGGTGCATGCCTGTAGTCCCAGCTACTTGGGAGGCTGAGTCAGGAGAAATGCTTGAATCCGGGAGGCGGAGGTTGCAGTGAGCTGGGATTGTGCCACTCCACTCCAGCCTGGCACCTGGCAAAAGGGCAAGACTCTGTCTCAAAAAAAAAAAAAAAAAAAAAAGAGAGAGAGAGAGAGAGAAGGTAGTTCTCTCATTTGTGACAACATGGAGGACATTATGTTAAGCGAAATGAGGCAGGCACAGAAAGACAAATACCACATTATCTCACTTATATGTGGAATTTTTTAAAGTTGTTACTAGGGTACGGGGGCTGTGGGCAGGGAGGGGGATTAGAAGATTTCTGAATTAAATATATATATATATATATAATTGGAAGAGTGGCCTTGCTTTACATTTTTGCAAATCTGTTCAATGCCCAGCTTAATAGAAAGCAGCTGGATTACTCATATCTGCTCCTGTAATTTTGTTTGAGGTATATTTTGAAAAATTGGACTTCACCCAGTTATATAGCTAGAAAAAAGAAAACAGAATCACTTTTTCAGATAATCTCTGATACTACATCAAAACTCAAACAAGTAGTAGTTTCTTAAATGTTAGTTGCAATGTGGTATCTGAAACCATATCAATGAATTTACTGTACTTTGTTGTATTAAAAGTCATTAGCTATGTTAATTTCTCAGTTTTGACCAGGGAACCTTAGTGACATAAAGTATTACCATAAAAGGAATCTAGGTACTGTATATAGGTATGCTCTGAGCTACTTTGCAATTAACTTTAGACTTCTGCAAGTCTAAAGTTAATTCAAAATAAAAAGTTTAAAATTTAAAAAGCAAAATAAGTTGAAAATCCATTGGTTTGTTTTTCACTTTGAATGAATCTTTTACCTATGCATAATTTTGCAACATTACTCATTGGTCCTTTGGAGAATATTGGTTCATTGAATCAAACAGATCCTCCAAACACTGACTTATTTTATTTTGCAATATCTGAATAGTCATATTTGTAAATATCACCAAGAATCTTATAAGAAAAGTCATTATGTAGTTGTAAACTAATAAGCCCATTGTGGCAGACACAAATTTTCAGAAAATTTTAATTTTTCCTTTAAAGCTGAATTTTTATCATTGGCATGAATTCTATCAGTTGCTTTTCTTTAAGTGACAGATTCATTTTATTTTCAAATACCCAAGTCTGAAAAAAACATATATAGCTTGTCTGTCAGTGTTCCTTCAAGTAAAAATGGCGTCCCATGAATAAAGAGGCTAGTTCAGCAAGTAACTTGAACAATCACACATGCTTTTCTCAAGACACTCATCATACATCAGTTTGCAAAAGAAACACTTGATGCATACTTCCCATTTTGACACACAATATGAAGTTTACTGTTTCACCAATGAGTGAAACCATTATTGATTTTATTGTGAGTGTGTGATGGTGAAAAATACAATGACTACTACCAATAAGGTTCACCCACTATTAATTTTGCATTATTAGTATAAATGCAAAAAAAAAAAAAGTAAATAACCTCTTAGTGTTGTTGTGAAAATAGTGTTGACCTTGTAGGCCTCCAAGAAAAGCCTCACAGAACCCAGGAATTCATGAACCACACTTTGAGAATCACTGCCAGCATAACAGAGCTTAATTTTCTTACAAGATTCTAATAAAATAAAAAAACAAGCAAAAGAAAAAAAAAAAAAAAAAAAAACCCTGACCAGGCACAGTGGTTCAGGCCTATCTATAATTCCAGCACTTTGAGAGGCTAAGGCAAGAGAATTGCCCAAAGCCAGGAGTTTAAGACCAGCCTGGGTCACAAAGCAAGACCCCCTGGCTAAAGTAAAAAAAAGTAGCCAGGTATGGTGGTATGCACCTAAAGTCCCAACTACTAGGAAGGCTGAGGCTAGAGGACTGCTTGAGCCCAGGAATTCAAGGTTGTAGTGAGCTATAACCATGCCATTATACCCCAGCCTGGGTGATGAAACAAGACTCTATCTCCAAAAGACAAGAAAAACCTTATCTAAGAATATATAAATAATTCCTATACATGAATTGAAAAATAATGAATAGCCTTATTTAAAAAAAAATGGGGGGGATGCAACAGATATCGTGGCAAATGCTGTTAGTTACCTACCTGTTAACCCTCCCTCCACTGCCTCCTGGCTACTGGTACTCTGAGTTTAATCAAGACAGCAATATGCTTGCTTAAAATTCTCATTTTCTCAGTCTCCCAGAAAAGGGTGGTCAAGTCACAAGGTTCTGACCAATGAACGTAAATAGAAGGTTACCGGGGAGTTGCGGGAAACATTTTGCTGCCCTGATATCGACACCACCCGGGCTTTCTTTCTCCTCTTCTTTATACCGAAGAGCAGATGTGATGTCAGGAAGCACAATAGCCACTGTAGACCCAAACGCTAGGCCACCGTCTGAGGATCACTAAAGAAGAGCCAGAGGTGTCAGCCCGGCACTGTGGCCCATGCCTGTAATCAAAGCAGTTTGGGAGGCGGAGGTGGGTGGATCATCTGAGGTCAGGAGTTTGAGAACAGCCTGGCCAACCTAGTGAAATCCCGTCTCTTCTAAAAATACAAAAAATTAGCTGGGCGTGGTGACAGGCACCTGTAATCCCAGCTACTTGGGGAGGCTGAGGCAGGAGAATCTCTTGAACCCGGGAGGCGGAGGTTGCAGTGAGCCAAGATTGTACCACTGCACTTCAGCCTGGCAACAAGAGCGAAACTCCCTCTCAAAAAAAAAAAAAAAATACAGATCCACAAAATTAAATTCAGGTTATCACAGTATAATCATATAATGCCACTTACATAACGATTAAGCAACATATTGCTAATGAGCACAAAATGTATATTCCAGTAAGAAACAGATATAAGCATGATAAACATTGAATTTGCAATAAGGGTTGCATAAGAGATGGGGAGTGAGATTGTAGAAAGGCACCAAAGTAGGTCTCGACTGAATCTGAATTGTTTAAGTAAAAACAAATAAGGCACTAATGTTAACATTCGATAAATATACCATGGGCCCATGGGTATTTATAATATTATTTTCTATTGTACCTGTTCATTCGAATGTTTTATACTGAGAAATGTTAAAAGCATTATAAAATATATAAAAACTAATTTTCAATCTAATATATTAGAAAAAGAATGATAAAATAAGATAAAAGAGAGTAGGAAGAAAGAACAAATGAAGACAAAAGCTAAGATTAGTAAAATACAAAGCATGTATATTATAAATAAAACTAAATATTTGTTCTTTGGAAAATATAATAAAATAGAAACTGCCTGGCATACCCAATTAAGTAAAAATTAAATAAAACAAAAATATATACCATTAGGAATGAAAAGACAATATAAAACAAGAATCGATTATAAAGAATATGTGCTACTCTATCTTAATAACTTTGAAAATATATCGATATAAGCATAAATCTTCATGAACTCAGGTTAGACTTTCATGACTTAAGAAACAAGGGTTTCTTAAATATGACAGCAAAAGTATAGGCAAGGAATGGTTGCACACATCTGTGAACATACTAAAAACTAGTAAATTACATACTTTAAATGCATGACTTAAGGTTGGGTGCAGCAGCTCACACCTGTAATCCTAGCACTTTGGGAAGCTGAGGTGGACAGACTGCTTGAGCCCAAGAGTTCAAGACAAGCCTTGACCACATGGCAAATCCCTGTCTCTACCCCCACCCCAAAAAATAGCTGGTTGTGTAGTGGTATGCACCTGTAGTCCCAACTACTGGAGAGGCTGAGGTGGGAGGATCACTTGAGCCCAGAAGATGGAGGTTGCAGTAAGCCAAGATTGAGCCACTGCACTCCAGCCTGGGTGACAAAGTGAGACTCTGTCTCAATAAGTAAATAAATAAATAAATAAATGATGATTATACGGCATAATAATTACCTCTCAATAAAGCTGATTTTAAAAAAAAGTTTTTTCTGGTGATTAATAGGGTAAGTAGGAAAAATTAAAATCTATAGAAAATCTGAACAGTGTTATCAACTAACTTAATTGGTATTTATGGAACACTTCACATGACAGCTGAATACTTTCTCTTTCAAGTACCTACAGAACACTCACCAAGATAGATAGGATTCTCAGTTATTGAAAAAAAATCAACAAGCATAAAATATTTGAAATCATGTGTGCTATGTTCTCTGACCATAGTGGAATGTATCTAGAAATCAATGACAAAAAAATACTTGAAAAAATCCTTTCAAATATTCAGAAACTAAACAACACAATTCTAAGTAGCCCTTGGATTGAAAAAAAATCACAAGGTGAATTAGAAAATATTTTAATTGAAGAAATGTTTTTAAATAACTTGTAAAAATGCATGTAATGTAGTTAAAGCAGGGCACTGAAAGACATTTATAGCATCAAATGCCTATATTCAAAAAGAAATGTTTCAAATCAATGGTCTAGGCTTCCACACTAAGAAACTTGAAAATAAGAACAAATTAAATCCAAAAGTAAAAGTGAAAAAGAGCCTGTAATCCCAGCACTTTGGGAGGCCAAGGAAGGCAGATCACGAGGTCAGGAGTTCAAGACCAGACTGGCCAACATGGTGAAACCCCATCTCTACTAAAAAATACAAAAATTAGCTGGGCATGGTGGCTCATGCCTGTGATCTCAGCTACTCGGGAGGTTGAGGTAGGAGAATTGCTTGAACCAGGACCTGGGAAGTGAAGGTTGCAGTGAGCCGAGATAGCACCACTGCACTCCAGCCTGGGCTACAGAGCGAGGCTCCATTTCAAAAAAAAAAAAAAAAAAGCCAAAAAGAAATAATAAAGATAATAATAGAAATTGATAAAGCAGAAACAGAAAAACAAAAAGAAACCACAATAAAACAAACAAAAATTAGTTTTTGAAGCCATTAGTGAAATTGATAAATTTCTCAGCAAACCAATCAACATAGCAAGAGAAAAGACACAACTTGCCTATATCAGGCATAAAAGAGAGGTCATTACTATAAAGACAAGGGAATTTTATGAGCAACTTTATGTCAATAAGTTGATTAATTCGATTAAATAAACAAATTATTTGAAAGATGCAAAATATGCCGCAGTTCACTAAAGAAGAAATATACCCCGCGAATAGCTCTATGTCCACTAAAGAACTTGAATTTATATATTAAAATCTGCCCACAATGAAAGCCTGGCCCCAGGAGACACTACTGGTAAATTCTATCAAACATTTAAGGAAGAAATCAAATGTATACAAACACTTCTAGAAAACAGAAGAGAGGAGAATATATTCCAACACATTTTTTTGAGGCTGCCACTACCCTGATATTAAACTAAAGGCATTTCAAGAAAAGTACAGAACAATATTCCTCACACTGATTTTTTAAAATCTTAATAAAGTATTAGCAAATTAAATTCAAAAATATATAAAAAGGATAATGTATCATGACCATATATAATTTTATCACAAGAATTCAAGGTGGTTCAACATTCAAAAATCAATCAAAATAATCATATCAGCAGACTACAAAAGAAAAAATTATAATCACCTCAATAGTTGCAGTAAAACATTTGACAAATCCAACATCCATTCTAGTAAGGATTCTTAGCAAACTAGAAATAAAGGGTAGTTCCTCACTCTGATAAATGCATCTATGAAAACCTACAGTTAACATCACACTTAATAACCAAAGATTGAATACTTCCCTCTAAGATTGGGAACAAGGCAAGGTTGTTTGCTCTCACCATATCTATTTACATTAGACTGAAGACATTAAACAGTACAATAAGGCAAGAAAATGAATTAAAAGTTGTGAATATTGAAAAGAAAACTTAATTTGTTTCCATTTGCATATGATGTAATCATTTACCTATAAAATCTCAAATAATCTACCAAAAAATATTCAAATTAATCAGTGATTTTTAGCAAGGTCACAAGCTATAAGGTTAATACACAAAAATCCATTATATTTCTGTATTTTAGCAACAAACAATTAATAATTAAAAGTTAAATGTTAAAGTGTCATTTACAATAGCATCAGAAAACATGGAACACTAAGAGATATTTACAAAATGTGTAATCTACAAAACATTGCTAAAAGAAATTGATGACCTAAATAAATTGAGCAATACACCTTCTTCCTGGATTGAAAAACTCAATAGTGTTAACATGCCAACTCATCCTAAGTTGATCTATAGATTCCCAGCAAGCTTCTTATAGAAATTGACAAGCTAATAATAAAACTTATGGGTAAAAGCAAAGGACCTAGAATAGCCAAAACAATGTTGCAAAGAACAAAGTTGAATGACTCATGCAATTTGTTTTAAGATTTACTACCAAGTTAGCATTTGAAGATTTATCATAAATCAACAGCCAATGTGGTATTTTTGTAAGATTGGACATACATAATCAATGAAACAGTATGGAGAGTCCAGAAATAGTGCCACACATACATGGTCAATTGGTTTTCAACAATGTCAAGGCAATGTAATGGAGAAAGGATGTTTTTTCAACAAATAGTACTAGAAAAATTAGACATTCATGTGCAAAGAAAAAAAAGAACTTTACTCTTACTTTGCACCACATATATGTCCACATTGTAGCTGTCAAGGAGTGAGAAAGGTCATATATGTATATGTACTCAGATTTCCCTGCAAATAGGCACTTTCTACGTAACAATGCTGGAAAGCCCAAGCCATAAATGCTTATCTGATTTTCCTTCCTAACCCAGATGCAAGGTCACTGCATCCAGAAATAACCCAGGGAGATTTTCCTTCTCTTACCTTCTTCCTCTGCACAAATATGGCACCAACATGCCTGTTCTTAAACCCATTTTTTCTTCCGTAGCTTTCACATGGGTGTGTTTAACACAGCAGAAGTAGTGTGACCAATAGTCCCAGTTTGCCTAGAACTGAGGGCCTTCCCCAGATGCAGGACCTTCAGTTTTAAAATTACAAACGCTTCAGACCGACTAGGACAAAAATGTTTCCCCCTCAGCAGAAATATAAGCAATTTACCCACTACATTCAACTGAGAAGCAGCAGCAACCCCTCCTTCTCCATGACCCCCGCTTCTTTACTCACAGGTATATACCAGAGCTGGGCCAATCAGACTCCCACTGAATGGAATTTAAACTGAGAGGCAGAAAGCCTCTCAGTTTAAAGACAATAATGGATCTTGGAGATGGAGGCCCACATGGATTCAGACCCTTGATAGAATTAGGGGGTTGTGTTGGCAGACAAACAGCATTGGAACCTGGTATGCAGAAGCAAGTACACAGAGAGAAACATGAACGAGGGGGAGAGAAACAACGCTGGCTGCAGACAGTTTTCTGGCTCTAGACCTTACTTGCTATTCTTGTTTTCTTGGAAATTACTTGGAAGAATCCTCCTAAAGGATGTCCTTACTGAAGAGCCTGTCCACCAGCTAGATTGTAGGAGTCCGATGAGCAAAACCGTGGCATCTCTCATAGCAGGAGCACACTGCACACAGTAGGTGCTTGCTACATGTGAGTGGAATTGATTACATGCTGTGATGGTGAATTTTATGTCAACATGAGTAAGCTATAGTGCCCAGTTGTTTCGGTTTTATTATAAAGTTATTTTATGGCTATGATTAGCATTTACAATCAGTTGACTTTAAATAAAGCAGATTATCTTCCACAATGTGGGTGGGCCTCACCCAATCAGTTAAAAGCCTTAAGCACCCAAAAAAAAAATGGAGATTTCCCCAAGACGATGAAATTCTGTCTCCAGACTGTAACACAGAAATCCTGCTTGAGTTTCCAGTCTGCTGGGTTGTCCTACAATTTCAGACTTGAATCACATGAGCCACAATCACATGAGCCAGTTCCTTAAAACGAACTAAAATAATTATGTAAGCATACACACGTACATCCCAATTGGTTCCGTTTCTCTGGAGAACCTGAACTGACATATCTGCTAATGCTAGCTGGTTATAAAGTGATTGAATCAGAACTTCAGAACAGTAAGAAACCAGGAGACACTATGGACCACAAGATACAGTGCAGATGTCCCCCTCCGTGCCCACAGCACCAGCTCCTAAGGGCAGTACCCATGCTGAGGATATGGCCCCTCTCAGAGAATCCTGCTAGGAAGTAGCTGCCCCAACAGCTATACATTCTCTTAACACAGATGCCTTTTGTTCTAAGCTGTAAACTGTAATCTTCTGGAACTTCGGTCTTCTGGAAAAGTTCTAGAACTCCACCAGGCACAGGAGGAATGTGCTCTGCTAATGTTTATCAAGTACTGACAACATACCCAGCTTCACTGGGACCATCATTTCGTCTTCCTCACAAATCTGGAATGCATAATTTATTATCGTCATCTCCAGTTTATGCAAGAGGAAACTGAGGCTCAAGGAGTCATGAGTATCTTACCAAAGTCAAATTAATAAGTGAGAAACAGCCACAGTTAGAAAGTGGGCAGCGAAAATTGAACCCAGACACTCTTACCATCACACATGCCTCTGTCATAGAGAAGGCAAAAGCCTAGCACTGTGTGGGCACAGGGGCTGCTGCCAATAGTGCCAGGCTGTCTGATGTTGCATTCAGCACTGCTCTTGGGGTGTATGAGCAACACAGACATGGGGCTGGTCACACTAAGCCACCAGCATCACTCCTTCCAACCTTGTAACTGTGAAATGCTGCCCTCCTATCCCAGCTCAAGGCCACACTTTCTATGAAGCCTGGATCCTCTCTTGCTAAAACAAAGACAAACCCAAGGAGAGCTCCCACGAGAGCCATGATGCCCCAAATCTGGTAGGACTTGGTGTAACTATCACTGGGAAATCCACAACGCCCCACCTCCAACCCCTACTCCCTGTCTGTAATTCCTTCAATATAGAGACACAGCAGAATCAATGCGCCAGTGAGGACGCAGACCCTGCTTTCAGTCCTGTTCCTTAAAAGCTCTGGGATCCAAATCACTTAATCTGTAAAATAAGGGAGCTGCACATGTCCTAGGGACAGGGACAGGACATTGTAAATCTTTAGCATCTTATAGTTTGAGGGTGAGAACCCCACCATGGTGCCTAGAAAAAAAAAAGCACACCATTGAAATAATAGGATAGAAATAAGCGATGCCGGCTGGGCATGGTGGCTCACACCTGTAATCCCAGCACTTTGGGAGGCCGAGGCGGATGGACCACCTGAGGTCAGGAGTTCAAGGCCAGCCTGGCCAACTGGTCTTGAACTTCACCTCAGGCGATCCACCTGCCTCAGCCTCCCAAAGTGCTGAGCTTACAGGTGCCCACTACCATGCCTGGCTAATTTTTCGTATTTTTAATAGGATGGTGAAACCCCGTCCTATTAAAAATACAAAAAATTAGCCAGGCATGGTAGTGGGCACCTGTAAGCTCAGCTACTCAGGAGGCTGAGACAGGAGAATCGCTTGAATTCAGGAGGTGGAGGTTGCAGTGAGCCAAGATTGTGCCATTGCACTCCAGCAACAAGAGTGAAACTTCATATCAAAAAAAAAAAAAAAAAGGGAAAGGAAAGGAAAGGAAGGGAGGGGAGGCGAGGGGAGGGAAGGAAAGCAAGCAAGCCTAGGATTATGTAATTCTAACAGGACATGGGATAAACACACATGAAAGTGAACCCAAAGAATTTAGACCTCAACATCTAAGGCAAAATCTGTTTCCAAATGGGAAAACCGTAGGAAGCTTTGCTGATTCTTAGGTGAGAAAACCCTGGAAAGCAGTAATGCTAGCCACTCTGAGAGATAGCAGAGGGACAGGTAGACGTCTACAACCTGCTACTTCCACCCATCTCCTCTGAGTTGCAGTGA